TCTGCACCTCGAGGTTCACAAAGTGCTGCACCTGCCACGAAATCTGCGCATGGATGTTCACAAAGTGCTGTTCCTGCCACGAAATCTGCACTTCAAGAAACAAGTGAAAACTCTAATCACAATGGAGGGACGATTCCGAGCGTGATCCGACCATGACCCGAGACCGTCTCGCAACCGTCGTTCCGCGGAGCTTCCCGTCGAGGTTCGGAGAAGCATGGAGGTTCACAAAGTGCTGTGCCTGCCACGACATCTGCACTTCAAGAAACAACTGAAAACTCTAATCACAATGGAGGGACGATTTCGCCCATGATCCGAGAATGATCCGACCATGACCCAAGCATGACCCGAGACCGTCTCGCACACGTTGTTCCGCAAAGCTAGACTTGCAAGCTTCGGAGCCACCCTTTCTATTGAAAAACACAGCATTTCGTGCGTCCGCTATCTCTCGAAAACGCATGTTGTATTGCGCCTGCCACGAAATCTGCACCTCGAGGTTCACAAAGTGCTGTGCCTGCCACAAAATCTGCACATGGAGGTTCACAAAGTGCTGTGCCTGCCACGAAATCTGCACATGGAGGTTCACAAAGTGCTGTGCCTGCTACGAATTCTGCACCTCGAGGTTCACAAAGTGCTGTGCCTGCCACGAATTCTGCACATGGAGGTTCACAAAGTGCTGCGCCTGCCACGAAATCTGCACATGGAGGTTCACAAAGTGCTGTGCCTGCCACAACATCTGCACATCAAGAAATAAGTGAAAACTCTAATCACAATGGAGGGACGATTTCGCCCATGATCCGAGAATGATCCGACCATGACCCGAGCATGACCCGAGACCGTCTCGCACACGTTGTTAAGCTAGACTTGCAAGCTTCGGAGCCACCCTTTCTATAGAAAAACATAGCATTTCGTGCGTCCGCTATCTCTCGAAAACGCATTTTGTATTGCGCCTGCCATGAAATCTGCACCTGGAGGTTCACAAAGTGCTGCGCCTGCCACGAACTCTGCACATGGAGGTTCACAAAGTGCTGCGCCTGCCACGTAAGCTGGACCTAGAGCTATTGAAACTAGAGCCAAATGGAGCTAGAGCTCTTGAAACTAGAGCTCACTGGATGATGAGTGGTGTCTGATGAGTGGTGTATGATGAGTGATGTATGATGAGTGGTGTATGATGAGTGGTGTATGATGAGTGGTGTATGATGAGTGATGTATGATGAGTGGTGTATGATGAGTGATGTATGATGAGTGGTGTATGATGAGTGGTGTATGATGAGTGGTGTATGATGCGTGGTGGGTGTATGATGAGTGGTGTATGATTAGTGGTGTATGAACAGTTCTTGAATGTCCGTAACACGGAAGTTTCGTACAGTAAACTTCCTTTGACAAGTGCCTTACTAGTAGTAACAAGAAGCAATTATATAGAAACAACTCCTAGGCCACTCCTAGGCCACTAGTAGCAAGGACCCAGAATTTGAGAATCTGACAGTGGATGGGCCGACTCTTTGCTGTTTGGGACATCAAAACACATGCAACTGCTGTACCTTTCCCAGGCATCCCTCTTAGGTTCGGTTGGAGGCCATTGCTATTAGTAACTCAAAAGAAGATTGTTTTTAAAATTAGATTTATTGAGTTTGGAGGACATCTGAACAAGCCAAGAACCCCCGGTAAAACACCCTGTACACGAACATTTGCTGTCTTTTGCTCGACTCTGCTCTAAGACTCTAGGCTGCGGAAATAGCTCTACCCGAAATCTGCCTGGGAGCAGGTGAGCTGTCCATGCCATGAGCGACTTCTATGCCAAAGGTTAAGGCAAATGCCGCAAGGCAGGTGGTGTTCGCTGACGACTCAACTCCAAAAACAACGTAGGTCTGGAACTACAAGAAGGCTTTGAGGTCGGAGGCCATCGCCACTAGGTTGGAGGCTATTGCTATTCGGTTGTAGGCCCTTGTAGGCTATTGCAATTAGGCTTTGAGGTTGCAACGCCCGGGATTTTCCAGATCTTCAGTTGTTTGACGGTCTGGTCCCCAGGTTAGTCCCGGAACTGGAATGCTTTACATTCTCTGCCCATCGGATCTAAAAGTGCTACACCTTGCACCATCGTGGCTGTGAGCCCAAAGTGCGATCCAAAGGGTTCAATCCAGTTTGGCTTCAAAGAGTCTGAACAGTTTCGTAGCAAAACTGCGTATCAAAGCTTGGCAAACTGCCGCTTGAGCAGGGGAGAACGAATGTGTTTTCGACTGCCCACAGCAGCCGTCACAACGACCACACGCTTTCGCCTGACAAAGGATGAATGCTCAATCAGCACTTGACAAGAAAAGCAAAGGTGCCATGATTGCCACAAGTTGACCTTTTGCCAATAAGGCCCACAAGGTGATGTGAAAATGGACTGCAAGAACGCCAAACTAAGGCTAAGGCCCGCCAAGCCATCAGGCTGCAGGCGAGGCCTCTAGCTGCAAAAAGAAAGAGGACAACTAACACAAAAAACATTTGTTTCTACTAGCGATGGCCTCCAGCCTCCTAGCGATGGCCTGCAACCTAGTAGCGTTTGTGCAAAACAACACAACCATTTGTTTTGGCAAGGGCCTCTGGTGACTCTGCGCCACTGGGTTTCTTCTCCTGTCAATTTGGCTGCAACATCGGGTTGCCAGCAGCAAACCTCAACCGCCATGCAGCTTCAAGCAGCCTATCTCGCCCTTGCACTCCCCTAGTTGTGTTCAAGGTGTTCCATACTTCGTTCTCCTTTACTACTTTATATATATATATAACTCTACCCTGCTAGGGACCGCTAGCCGTCTCACCAAAATCTTTCCCAGCCTCCCTCTTCGGCTCCCACTGCGGCAGGAAAGGATTCAACCTCCTGCAAAAAAAGGTCAGCGAGTGCTATGTTCAGCTATCTTCAGCCGTGTTCAACTGTTCTCTGTTTTTCTCCCAACGGTAATGTTTATGGCTTTTGATATGGAAAAACACAGTTTCCCCAAAGTTTCTTGTCGCTCTTCCAGTCTAGCAAAGCCTCCAAAGCCGCTGGAGCAATTCCTCGCCACCTGTGAATCCGCAAACCGACGCGAAACGAACCTCTGCCGACTTCAAGTTTTGCCGACTTTAAATTCTTATTAAATTTAGTGAATTATTGTGTCTAATAACTTCTTGTGACTAACAGTATAGGAGCCCGTAGTAGCGTCCTTGCTCCCAGTACAATGCCAGGAGCCCCTAATAGCGTCCTTGCTCCTACCAAAATCTCTGCCGACTTCAAGTTTTGCCGACTTTTTGGGCAAGATTTTGGACGACACCATGAAAGGTCTTTCTGGTCACGTTGGCGGAAGACGTTCAGCGGAGAAACACAACCGACAAAAGCACCATGATGAAACTGGTACTCAGCACTTTGGTCCTTGTCAATCCCAACTTTCTCCTCCAACTGTGAAAGCGTTTCTTCCACCTCCATTGCTTTGTCAACGAGGCCCTTGACCTCATGCTGAACTCTCACTATCTCCAGAATATACAGGTGCTCAAACTCCGCCCATCTGGCTCCCCCAGGCTGACACAAAGTTTGCAAAGTTCTGGTCAAATGCTTTCTGGTCCAATTTCGCGCGGCGCGCGACAGCACACCGCAAACTCTTGACGAAGGTTGTCGTTTTTGGTCGGCGCTACTTTTTTGGAGGCACTTTTGCGTTGATTTTGACTTGTGCTTTTTGCGCCCATGTTGACACAATTGACGGTACCGCCGACAAAATTGGTCACTCCAAAAAGCCCCAGCTGCAGCTCGCAGACATGTGGTGCAGCGATGTCACACATGCAGTGATCACACGCAGTGTCACTACATGGGCATCGCTACTAGGGGCTCCTGGCCTTACTACTAGGGGCAAGGACGCTACTAGGGGTCGGCAATTTCATGGTGCAAATGTTGACGCCGCGCGCCCGCAACCGCCCCGCCTAAATGATCGCTGAGGAACTCCTGGCATTCCTGAAGCTGGTAGACTTCTGGTAGACTTCTGAAACGGAAAGAGCTGGTAGACTTCTGCAGCAAAATTGGTTTAATGAAGCTGGTAGGTTGGAGGCCATTGCTTCTAGGTTGGAGGCCATCGCTATTAGGTTGGAGGCTATAGCCATGCTGCTCAGCAACCTTCAAAGCAGGAATGCAAAGGAACCTGGCAGTCCTGAAGCAAGCGAACTTCGTTCAACTTCATCTTCCGGAGCTCTTCAGCATTCTCACGGAGCAGTGCCTGTGTCGATTACACCTAATAGCGATGGCCTCCAACCTAAAAGCAGCTACTGTATATTGGACCTTTCTTCCTTTTCTTGTATCTTTGTTTCTAATAGCAATGGCCTCCAACCCTAATTTCTTGGTTTCTGTCCATGTCACATCAATGAAGGCCTCTTTGCTGTCTCTTTCCATGTTGGTGGTGGAGCGCTCGGCTTCCAACCTGACTCATTTGACTCATTGAGCAAATTTGTGAAGGAAAATAGGGGTGAAAAAGAAGCAACGGAAAAGGAACTTTGTCTGTAAGAATATGCATATAATATGAATATATAAGAAAAGAAAAGGAGTTTGGCCCTCCTACCTCCCTTTTTTTCTTCTCTTTCTTGGAGTGAAAGGACATGAGGACAAGACACCCACCAGCCTCATCACACGGGACTGTTGAGAACAGATCGCTTCCCTCGCAAGCGAAGTTGCTTTGTGGGGCTGGTGATTGAAGCACGCGAATTGCACTCAAAGAGCCCTGAAATAGTTTTTGGATGAAAGCTTCAGAGAGTCTTGTAGAATTGCAATAGCCCAAGTAGCCAATCCTAAATCTCACTTGCTCATGCCCTCCCTTCGCGCCACGTTGAGGCAACCTCGAGCTGGGACTGGTCAGATGCAAACCTGAATCTCAAGAAGAAGTACCAACTGCCAGGAAAAACAACGGCAAGTAACACACTGCAAACGCTTGACTTCGGGATCCTGCACTAGGGGCTCCTGGCCTTACTAGGAACCAGAAGCTACAAACGGGGCTCCTGGCATCGCTACCAACGGAGCAAGGACGCTAGTAGGTTGGGAGACGCTCGGAAGAGACATTTCGGTGAGGGACGGATCGGTCAAGAAGCTATTAGAAACAAGTGCCACGCTAGTAGTAACAGGTGCCTTACTAGTAGTAACAAGAAGCTATTAGAAACAAGTGCCACGCTAGTAGTAACAGGTGCCTTACTAGTAGTAACAAGAAGCTATTAATTTATTTTAATTCTAGTAGCCCAATGAAACACTAAAGAACTGAAAGCCACAAGCCAAAGGCCAAGAAGCCCTAAAGTAGTGAAGGACTAAGCCAAGCCTGCAGGAACCCTAAAGAAGTGAGAACTGCCAGCCAAACGGGCCAAACCCATAGAAAAAGTATTGGCCCTTGCTATTAGGTTGGAGGCCATCGCTCTTAGGTTGGAGGCCATCGCAAGTAGGTTGGAGGCCATCGCAAGTAGGTTTGGCCATCGCTAGTAGGTGGACCCAAATGCAGTAGCACTGCCAAAGCAAAGGGGAGTTGACTTGTCTTTTGTCTTGGAAGAAACATCAATCGAAGACAACTGCCATCAAACATCCCACAGGGACAGACTAGAGTGACTTTGTTTCCCAACACAGCAAAAACAATTCAGCAGTTTGCAGCTTGAGCTGCAACAGCAAGTTCCTGCTGATAGGAAGACCGTTCTTGTATCGGGTAGAGCAACGCAACAAGTTCTAGCATAAGTCCTCACAAGGACATGGACGCATCGGTTCAAGAGATGGACCGAGCTGGTTATTCAGCTTCCACATTCAGAGCCGAACCCAGCGTGGCCTTTGGCTTTTACGTGCAAAGGTTCGGGCAAGTTTGTTGCGCTCTTTCTATGCGGACTCCAAGACAATGCAACCTACCCGGTACTACCCATCTGCATCAATTTTGCCAGGATGTATACCGACATCTCTGTCGACGACAAAGGGTTGTCACTCTGCATAGCGTGGCCTTTTGGGTTGTAGCAGTTGAATCTTGGTGGTCATTCACATTGCCTTGCATCTTCCACAACACTAAGATTTTTGCAGCAGTTGTAGCAGTAGCAATACTGTCGTTTTTGTCTGCAGCAAAATTCTGAGCGCTCTGCTTTTCCTTCAATTCGATTAGTCTCTTCTTGCCAGGAGCCCGTCTGGGCTCTTCCTGAACATCAGATTTGGAGACGTATCAGTTTCTGTTTAGTAGCATCCCCTTTGTTCCTAGTAGCGTCCTTGTTCCTAGTAGTAAGGCCAGGCGCTCCTAGTAGCGATGCCAGGAGCCCCTAGTAGCTTCTTGTTCCTAGCAGTAAGGAAACTGTTTCTGTTTGGATGTCTTTGTTTCTCTTCCAGAAACTCAGCAACAAGTGCAGCAAGTGACCCGGGCCTGGCCATTCTCCGGAGCCAGGCTCGTTAGCTCTGCTGACTTCTCAGGATGTGCCAGCCGTGTTGGCTGGGCCATCTCTGGTGGGTCAGCTAGCGGCCTGATTTGTGAATCGAACCAAACAAAAAAGGTTCCTCTAGGCCTAGGCCTTTTGGCACAAAGAATCTAAATGATCTCAGAGAAAGAGGACCCCCAAAACACATATCACAAAGGCGAACAAAGGCAAAGTGAGCTGTGGCGTGTGGTGGGTTGCTTGTGGAGTTTTGGGGAACCAACACACTAGTTAAGTGGCCCTAAAAATCTTGGAGCCAAATGAACAAATCTTACTACTAAGAGCAAGAAGCTACTAGGAGCAAAGGGCCTCGCTACTAGGAGCAAGGACGCTAGTCGGTTGGAGGCCATCGCTATTAAGCAAGGACGCTATTAATAGGTGGAGGCCATCGCAAGTAGGTTGGATGTCATCGCTATTAGGAGCAAGAAGATACTAGGGGCTCCTGGCCTTACTACTAGGAACAAGAAGCTACTAGGCACAAGGAAGCTCACTCCGCCCTCTGAGGCGGGGAGAGCTTCGAAGAAGCGTGAGCTATCCTGTGTCCTTATTGGTAGCTACTTAAGCTACTAAGCTACTTGCGGCCTTTTATTTGAAACGAAGAGAAGCACAAAAACGTCTTGAAAAAAGTATGATGAGGGCCTTTTGGATTCACCAAAGGAAAACACATAGAGAGAAAAGGAAAAGGCCCCCTCCACGAAGCCACACCAAACACTAAAGCCAAACCAAAGCCTGAAAAAGCCAGGCTCGTAGAGAAGGAGATGACAGGATCTGTGAAGATGGACGCACTTAGGGCGACCAATCTTTTCGGAAGACATCTGATGGAATCGCTAGTAGTAACAAGTGCCACGCTACTAGTAACAAGTGCCTTACTAGTAGTAACAATGTTTGCTATTGGAAACATTATAGTTAAGTTATATTTACTAGCTTCTTGTTGCTACTAGTAAGGCACTTGTTACCAGTAGCGTGGCACTTGTTACTACTAGCTTCCTACCCCCCCATGGAGAAGTGATGCTGCGCTCCTGTTAAATCTCTCCTTGTCCCGCTGTCAAACTTGTCCACTTGCTTTGGCTCTACAAAAGTATTATGAAACACAGTTGACATAACAAGTCCTGAGTAGGGCCTACATCAAAACAGCTTCAAACAGCTTAAGCAAACCCTAACATATGGGGTCCATACAGGGTGCCTATGCATGCATACGCAAAGCTGAGGAACAACAAAACAATACCTCTATCAACACAAGCAAACATGAAGGCGCACTTTTCTGTAACTATATATATATATGTTTTTGCAGCCAAGGAACTCGTTTTGTGTGCTCTTCTTTCTTTTTCTTCTCTTCTTTCTCTTCTTTTTCTCCACAACCACCTCATATCACTTCAACTCACTGCTCCACGTCTACACACTCCAAATCCAAACCATTTCCATTTTGAGTTCCGAGGTTGAGACGGTCTCATCGCTCCCTGATGCCGAGTTGTCTCCCTGGACGGCACGGCATTGAGTTCTCGCCCGGTTCTTCATCCAAAACCATCTAAAGCCGTCCATGAGCGAGCATCAGGTATCCTGCGAACTAGAGAGTAGCTTACTTAAGCTACTAACTTCCTCTTGCGGCCTACGCCCCCGGGCCTTAAAACACACAATTTAAAGACACCTGATAATGGACGATTGGAACAACTCCTGTGGAAACCCATCGCCTGACTCCGAACTTCTGCGTCTGCGGCTTCGACGGACCTGCCGAGGATGCCAATGCGCTCGACAGATGTTTCTAGCTTCTTGTTACTACTAGTAAGGCACTTGTTACTACTAGCAAAATCTAGAGGTCTTGGTTTTTCCTTGCCAAATTTAGCAAGCTAGCCATCTACAAGACCTTTACTGGTATTGTCCGCGGACCTTATTCCACCTGTTGGATGGGCATCGCCTCTTTTTCTATATCCGTTCTAAAACGAGACGTCTCGATTGCGCACACCGAAGGATTAAGATGGGATGATCGGCGGATTCGACAAACAAATAGATCACCAAATATTATTCTACAATCTTGATGATTGCAGTAAGGCCAGGAGCCCCTAGTAGCGTCCTTGCTCCTAGTAGCGATGCCCTTTGCTCCTAGTAGCTTCTTGTTCCTAGTAGCGATGCCAGGAGCCCGTAGTAGCGTCATTGCTCCAGCCAATATGCTGGCTCAACACTTGCTCTGCCTCTCTGCTCCGTTGTTGCTTTTCTGGTTCGCAGAGAAGCTGCCACTCAGAGTGTCCGCCTCAGATGTGAACACGATAACAAAAACGATGATGACGAAGTGTCTAATCTTGTGTTTGGATGGCTTGGTCTAACCTGTTTACTATGGTCTCGTCTCGGATGCCTTCAGCGCGGATGGCCTTGGAACAGGCACCTCCAAATGTCCACAGTAAGCGTCGAAACTGCAAATAAGAAGGCTTTCAAAGCACTAACGCTGAAGTGTTAAGGGGCCTGCTTGGCCTTCTTCGAGCTCAGCAAGAGCGAGCAGTTCGTGCTCCTGGGAGACATCCAGGCGCTGAAACAAGAAAGAAAGGACGGGGAAGAAACATGTTCCTTCCTCTTGTGTAGCATTCGAGGTCTCTTTTGGCGTCTCGTTGTTGCACAAGTGTCCCACAACATCTAGAAACTAACTGAATAGGGCGGGCTTAAAAGACAGATCTAAAAGATATCAAAATAAAAGGAAGGAAGGAAGGAAGGAAGGAAGGAAGGAAGGAAGGAAGGAGCTTCCTTGAAGATGCCGATCCTTTCTCGTAGTAGCTTACCTTCCCGCGCCCCTTCACTTCACACGCTCCTGCCCAACAGGTATTCCATGAGCTCCGAGAGGTGCTCCGTGTCCAGCTTTTTCGCCATCAGGCCTAGGCGCAGGGGCATCGCTACTAGTAACAGCATCGCTAGTAGTAGCTCCTGGCATTGCTACTACTAGTAACAAGGGCATCGCTTGTTTGGCGCCGACTTTGCGTTACGTCGCTGCCAATAGCGGAGCTTTATGACCCTCAGATCTCGGCTCTCCAAAAGCGAAGCTGTGGCAAAACCTACCAGGAGATCGGGCAGCGATTGCAACGGTAGCCCCTAGTAGCTCCCAGGCTTGGGCTCTCTCAAGGAAGCTCCCGCCGCAGGGGCCGGAGCTTCCTTGAAGAAGGCCCCCCGCATGATTGATTTGGTTTGTGCCTTCATATTGCTCCTGCAAGGCAGCAACAGCAAAAAGGGATCCCAAGCCTCGCAGGTTCGATGTCGCGGCGACCAAATCCAAAACAAAGGCATCGCTCCTAGTAGCTCCTGTCTCCTAGTAACAAGGGCATTACTACTAGTAACAAGAAGCTACTAGAAACTGAGCTGAATGATGTGCTCTGTATGTAGGCTCCGTGCTCAGGAGCTTGTCGGAGGAAGGACTCTCCTTCACCGGAGTCACCGTGTCCCTGAGCATTCAAGATGGCTACTAGGAGCAAGGACGCTACTAGGGGCTCCTGGGCTCTTAGGTTGGAAGTCCGACCCAAAGTGTTCCTTTCGACTGCCTTTCGTGCAGAAGCGGTTCAATAGATTCGATGTGAAAGTGCCCAAACTAGACACGGTTTCAAACGATACAAGCACATGTCACGATCCAAGCGGCAAAGGATACACCACCTTGTGTTTCTCGAAGATCAGTGATCCATTGAGTGCACCCACCCAATGTGCCTCCACATATTCACACTATGCAGTTCATTACTTGTCATGACAGCATCTTCTGTCTCTTTTGACAATCACCAGTTTCAGACATTACCAGTGAAATCTTGAAGAGGACCAATCGTTGAACGCTCTTTCTTCCTTTTGAAGACCTTTCATCCGTTTCTTTGTCTTTTTTTCTTGTCTTTCTGCCTTTCAAAAATAACCTCGACACAAATGTGCATCCTGTCTTAACTCGAGACCCGGGCCTTTTTGAAGTACTGTCGCAGCAAGGCCACTGCCGCGCCGGGCTTGAAGTATTCATCCCTCAACAAAGTGCTTGACACCTCCTGGAGCACTGCTGTGGTGTTGTCTGTTATGTCTGCAATACTAGTGTAGGGAGAAATGAAAATTATTCTTCTCGGCTTCTTCTTTTCCCTCCAAGAGGGCGTTAGGCCATGAGGATCATAGATGATAGTAGGTAGTAGCTAAGTAGCAGGGTAGAAGGAAGCTACTACATGCATGAACTCAGATAAGTCCTTTGCATGATCGAAAAAGGTTCCTAGAAGTTTTGGCCACATCAAGCCGTTCCGTCTGTCTTCCTTGGGTTTTTGCCATCATTGGAGCCTGTGTTGTAACTGTGAACAGCTGTGTAATCTTGCAAGAAGAAATCCTTTGCCAATCACACAGGGCCACAGACCTAGACCTGTAAAGAAACAGCCGAAAAAAGCAACACGTTGTTCTTTCTCTTAGGTTCGAGGCCATCGCTCTTAGATTCAAGGCCATTGCTAGGTTGGAGGCCATCGCGCTTAGGTTGGAGGCCATCGCTATTAGGTTGGACGCCATCGCCATTAGGTTGGAGGCCATCGCTGCTAGGTCCGAAGCCATCGCTATTAGGTTGGAGGTCATTGCTAGGTTGGAGCCCATCGCAATTAGGTTGGTGGCCATCGCTCTTAGGTTGGTGGCCATCGCGATTGATTTTCTTGAGACCTTTAGACTCAAGACGACTAAGCGAAGACCAGTGCAGCTTTGCTGACTTTGCAACTTTGACCTCTTTCTCCTCACCTGAAAAGCAACCCTAGGAACAAGAAGCTACTAGTTTCAACGGGCATTACTAGGAACAAGCTCCTGGCCGTACTACTAGGAACAAGAAGCTAAGTGAACCGATTGCCTTTCTTGCGGCTCTCAAACTCCCTAAGGTCACCAAGCTACTTCTGTTACTACTAGTAAGGCACCTGTTACTAGTAGCGATGCACTTGTTCCTAATAGCTTCTTGTTACTACTAGTAAGGCACCTGTTACTACTAGCGTGGCACTTGTTACTACTAGCGTCCTTGATGACATGTGGGGGGACCTTCTCCTCCTCGTCATCCACCTGTGCTCCATAAAGCCGAACTCCATCGGCTCCACGACGGAAACAAAGGGCATTTTTGGAAGACACAAAAACCGTAGAAACAAGCACAGACAAGCACAGTATATAGATAGTATAGGAAAGCTTCTTCGACATCTTCGTTTTCGACATCTTCTTTGACCTTTCTGATCCTTTTGTTTTCATTCCGGTTCTATCCTTTCTACTAGTAACAAGTGCATCGCTACTAGTTTTCATTCCTGTTCTATCCTTTCTCTCTTCCTTTCGTAGCGGGTCTTCGGTCCTTGAGGCCCTGACGAGCAACACTTTCCCGGCAGTTTCTTTCGCCACAGCAGCGACCGTAGCGAGAAAGCGAGATTGGCGTTTGCCAACCGCCTTCGGCACCTCAGGTTAACGAGGACGCTACTAGTAACAAGTGCCACGCTAGTAGTAACAAGTGCCTTACTAGTAGTAACAATAAGCTACTAGTAACAAGTGCCTTACTAGTAGTAACAAGAAGCTACTAGTAACAAGTGCCTTACTAGTAGTAACAATAAGCTACTA